CAATGTTTACAATCCTGGATCCAACAATGATTTCATTTTCCTTTTCATCTTCCAGTGAGTTGTTTAGGAAAGTTCTCGGTCATTTCATTTTATTAGGAGTCAAATACAATGCGAAACAAATCGTAGCACTCAGAGGTATCCACTTAAATTTCTCGCGGAACAAAGTAAGACCTACCGAATGCACTCGACACGACTTTATTGATGGGGTGTCGACTTCACCATCCTCCTTTAGCTTGTTAATTAAAATTTTTTTGACCACTTTCGGCAAGAACCCTGCCATCCGAACATTTTCCTACCTGCTTTCAAGAAGTAAACTTTCCATTTTTGTTTCTCAAATAACCACTTCCGCTGGAAACAATAGAGCTAGAGGTACCCGGCAGTTTTGAAACGCTCATGGCGGCCTTATTTGTTTACAACTCGCCCGCGGATCTGATCGCGCGCGCCATCGCTTATTTCTCTCGCGAGTAATAAGCTTGCGTGTATCTTGGAATCCATTCTCCCCGCGGTCAAAAAAACCCTTTCGAGCCTCCTTAAAAACTGCACGCTATTGTGCATTTTCTTGCTCAGGAAAAACCAAACAGAATTTCTGATTCTGGCCCTTAATGGTCAGAATAATAACTAGGACTTTGCCTATGACGAAGGAACGGCAATAAGCACAATTTTAACCTACGATCAGGTTGTTGTTTAGTCTCATCATGCAATGTTGGAGAGAGAGAGAGCGTTGCGTGACAAGTTCAAATTAGGGCTGTGGAGGGGACTGTAGGAAGCGTTGTACCAATGCAGTTTATTTTTGCCAACAATTATTCAGACACCAGCATCAGTTATATAGTGTCCCATTTCAACCTACGTATCCAAAAAAATAACTCCTGCATGCGTAGCATGCCTATGTTAAATTCAGGTCGACTTAAATTAGTATTAGATTCGGCGCATGTAAAATGCGACGTTTAACCGGGCCTAAGCGTGGAAACTTTTGTTTATTAGATGCGGGTAGATGACCCTGTACTAATTAAGCTGACATTTACAATAGAGCAAACCCGCCCTTTCCATCCAATATTTCTTGGTGTTTGGTTTTGTTTTCCCCAATTAAAGCAGCATCGATTCCCAATCATCAAAGGTTTTCAACAATGGACAAAAGAGGTGAAATGACAATGGCCAAGGGATTAGAAGAGAACCGTAGCCTTTCGCGCTCAAGAATTTCACTCTCTAGGCAGCAGTTGAAAGATTAAGCTCTTTCCAAACCCTTTCGGTAACTGTCCGAAAATATCTCCTTCTCACGATGTTCTCGATAATAAGTTTTTGTTCAGATTTTAATTAGCTGACCGGAAACACAGCTAAGCTTTCTCTAAGCGTTTGCTGGAGGTCGTCCACGAACTTAACGTTCTCGGCAACCTTAACGTTCTCTGCAACCTTGGCCATATTATGAAAGACTTTACTACAAAGCGAAGATTAGATTTGGCGCACACAGAAAGCTAAGTAAGCGTAAGTGCCAGTTGCTCGACATACTGCGTGGCCCGCGCCCGTGCGACGAAATAACTTCACGGGAAAAAAATCAAATACAAAAAATCTAGAGAGATTTATGCTTACATCTCGTTTAACGTTTAAAGCGACATATCAACGCCTGCAACCATCGTGTTTTATAGGAACCTCGCAAACTTTTAAACACGTTCTCTTGTGATACCTGCGAAAGTATTCAGTGTAATTTCCGGTGAGATTTTTGCGGACAATGTGATCGATTTCTCTTACATTGTGTGCTGAGACTGAAACTTTTCACCTCGAGCAAAGCTCCGTCGATCGTACGGCCCAAACAAACATGGCGAGCAACTGAGCTTTTTGTATAGGTTCGTGTTAAAACACACGAAAGGACTCTAAAGCACACTTCACTCTGATTGGGCAGAAAAACACAAAGATTTTCTGGCACCAATCAGATGCCAGAACGACTGCGACCGTTTGGAACTAGTCTTGTAAGATAATATCCCCAGGGGCTCTTCTGCCTTTACTTGAAATCGACTCACAGCCCCTGGGTCTCCGAGGATGGGAGGAGAGGTGTCACCTTCACAGCGCATTAACAACAAGCCCGCGCCCCTCCCCGAAGAGGAAGGGGAGGAACGAAAAAGACCTAACTCGAGAGAGCGGCGGAAATGAAGCCTACGTGTTTAGTCGATCAACTGAGAACTTGTGCAGAGATAATACAAACAAAAAAAAAATGAGTCATTCAAAGGCGGTGACAAACAACATTATACATACAAAGAAAATAATGAGCGAAAGGAAAATGGAGCAATGATTAACTCCAAACCAGGACATGGCTAAAATAATGATCAAATTCTGAAAACTTAATGCCAAAGTAACATAAGATCACGGCTCTCAATAGGTCTGGGATTGACCGAGCGTACATCCCTTCAAAGTAGTATTTAAAATGCCATTTTATGGTTGTTGGTCCCAGGTCAGTAAGGTATGTAGTTTGGGACATAATAATTAGCTTTGCATCTGAAACAAACGGTGCTTGTTTGCCGAAACAAGCTGCATTGGTGAACCAGATATCCCTTCAACTGTTTTCCCTGCCATACTGGGGCAGAATAAAACTAGCTTCAGAATAGGGCGAAATAACAATAATTTGGGCGAAATAACACTAAATTGTCTGCTGACGTAAGACATAATTGGTCTAATTTCAGACAATGAATGTTGTACAAGCTTCTTGTTCGGAAAATTAATAGTTGGCATCGACCTGTATCCAGGAAAGTTGTTCTACTGACTAACATAAGACGGACGCTCATGAAAACTTCTCATTGGTAGCGGAGACTTTTTTTACAAACCGTTTTTTGGTTAGTTGGTCAGCTCGCTGCACAAAAGACAATCGATTGTTGCAATGGGTCTTTTAAAAGTTTTGAAGTCGATACTAGAATATGGCTCGTTGACTTCGAGTTCGCAAAATCCCATCATCAAACCAGAGCGAACTGATGGATATGTAACAGTAATCATTGTTTTCATTATTGGAGTTATTTTGATTTTGATTATATGTATATACCTGCTTACTTCCCGCACCGAGAAGCAAAACGGAGCATCTGCCGCACGGCAGTTTCCAGTTTTTATCAGTGGTGGCGACAAGAGATCAATCAAATGTCGAAGGAAATCATCGAACAAATTGCGCTTGACCAAATCACACAAGCTGCTGGAAGTCAACAGAAAATGGTCAGCAGTGTACAGCGCGGAAAACACCGGGGGTGAAGAGACTGATGTCACTTGGACGATTCCTTTTGGGCAAATATCAGTCCCAAGAGCTAGAAAGGTCACCTTTAGAGACAGCATACAGGATGTGTATTATATTGAGAGCAAGGAAGAAGTGAAGAGACTTGAAAAACTAAACAATATGGGTTATGACGTCACTATTAAAAGGCTAACATGTTCCGCGCGCCATCCGGCGAGTAAAATAACTCTTAAAACTGGGGTCTGTGAGGAAAAGCAAACCGTTTCGTACCCAATTACGTGTTCAACTACAGCCGATAATTATATCTGTAAAGGAAAGCTTGATAGTTGTATAAGTTTAGATGAAAATTGTCAGAAAGGTGCAGAATTCCAAGCCAAAGATACCAAAGCACTCCCCAACAACATGAACGTTATCAGCAACCAGATTTCAAGCGATGAAGAGAAATTTCAATTTATACCCTTGTTAACCGAGCGCTCTGTCTAGGTAACAAATTGAGAAATCTTAACTATTTCTAAGAACTCTGTGAAATTCCATTCAAAGAAAGAGGACTCTCGCTCCAACTTGTACAGTCACTTGACGTACAAGGGGAATATCATTAATGTGTGACAGCTTTTCCACGAAACATTTAAATTCATTCATTTGATTTCAAAGAAGGGATTTTCGTGAACAGTATTTCAGGATTCTGAAACAATCGCTAGTCTCACCTTCAATGAGTGGCGTAATAGAAGCCATGGAAATGAAGAGCATTCTGTGTGCATAAACAGCTATGTAGTACTTTTTTTGAGGTAATTTATCACGAGTCTTCATCAAAAGTCTCTTCTCCAAGGGCATTTTCTGATACTACCGCTTAATAACATTGTCTCTGCAACCCAGCAAACGATTGAAAAGTCTCTTCTTTGCGCCATGATGGGAACAAATGAACAAACATGATGATCTTCTTCTTTGAAGCTCAAACTTCTTCAGCTATCAAGGGAACTCGGCGCCTCAGCTGTCTTCCAGGAAATGGTTGCAGTAATGATTCGAAATCAATTCCTCTGCAATAATCTGATTCTTAAGAAAAAAAATTACAGAAACAGACTGGTTCTTTAACCGTTGAACTTCTGAGAGCGACTGAGATCTAATTTCCCTTTACATTTTATCATTGCTGGACGAACAATAAGGTTATTAGTACAAGAAAATGAAGAAGCTTGTGATTGTCTAACATTCTCCTTTTTACCACCATAGGAAATGTATGAGGAGCAGTGTGGAGAATATGCATATCACTGTGAGGGGGGTAAAGGGTTTTTGTTAAGGGATATACTCGTTGTGATCCGACCGTTATTTTCGGGAAAAGTGTGTCTTTCCGGGTTGGATCATTGAAATGATCACGGGGAATAGAGAATCACGAATTCTCAGAAAATACGACTTGATTTTATAGTTTCTGAACACCTCTGGAGAGGTTACTTTGCCAGTTCTCAGAATATTGACTTGACACAGGTTGAATTGTAGTAGTTCCCAGCTCAGCAGAAAATGAGGACCTAAGTTAGAACAACTGGACTCAATCTACAGTCGAAAAGTGGGCGCTTGAAGGGGGTTAGAGCCAGAAAAATGTAAAGGAGCCTGGCATAGACTGAGCCAAGTGTGCTGTCTTCACTGAAATAGACAATCCTTTTTCCTTGGAATACTATAATACGGACTGATTTCTTGAGTTACGAATCGTTCTTACTTGCAAGACTCTCTGCGTGTGGACGTAGGAAGTCTGGGTAAAACGCTATCTAATGCTAACGTCATGTGACGTCATAGATAACAATCGTCTCCTGGGACCACCACAGTGGTATCACTTTTCACGTGTTCATCATTCGTTTGTCTTTCGGTTTTATGCCCTTTGGAAGAAAATTCTATCTCAAAGATTTGCTTTCAACGACTTTTGACCAAATACGAAAGTACATATCTTGTTAATTTTGTTACCACGCTAGTTAGGAAGGAATTTGTGCAAATCGCTCGATGTTCTTAAAGTAAGTTACTCACCCTACCCTACCCCCCGAAGAAACCCCTTGAGCCTTAGGTTCAATGAACGAAGTTTGTTTGCGTGAAGGTACTGTCATTGAAGCATCGACGAAAAGGCTAAAAATTCTCTTCTTTGAATGGCATTGTAGGTCAGAAATGATCACAGAGTGGAAGCCTAAGTATTCAGCGTAAAGAATGAACTATTTAGGTCGTTTTGTGTCCAACGTTCGGGGATTTTACAGCGAGATAAACTCGGCCACTCTCACCGGAGCTATAGATGTTGTGGTGGTACGTCAGGAAGATGGTTCTTACATTGGCTCGCCGTTCCACGTTAGATTTGGAAAACTCGGCGTGCTTCGAAGCCGAGAAAAGATCGTGAGTAGAATTGTCTCTCTTGTATTCTGCAGCAGTGTAAACCTATGCAAGCTTGACCATTGATATTATGTGATCATCTTCTGAGTGTCACAGTCTTCGTTCTTTATAACCTTACCCAGCGAAATATCGCTGACAAAACTGAAAACAGAACGGGAGTGAATCGGCCTGATTTTTCAATAGATGTTAGCGCATATAGTTTTATAGTTTCACTTTCATCGACAAAATTTGGATACTCTCACCCACTAGGAAAAAGTCCGTGATTTAAATTGAAATTAATGAATTTTTTTCTGTCTCACGTCGCGTCACTCAATTTGTTTCTGTTCTCCAAACCACCGTAAATTTTGAAAGCATTTTCTTCCTAAGTAGCAAAGTCGATATGGTTTAATTAAACTTTGTATGGTGTTGTTAAATATATGAACTCGTAGTATGCTGTCTAAATTGGAAAATAGATATCCGTCGATGGCATTCTGAACAAATTAAATGATGATAACATCTTTCAAGAACGTAGAGATAGTGACAACGTGCGATAAATTTATTTAACGTTTTCCAGAGGCTGAATTCGTTTCCTTTCTCCCTGTAGCGGAAGCTCTTGCTTTTATCACTTCTATAAAGAACGAGAAATGAAAGTATTTGAAAAAGCACACCACGCAAATGCAACTCAAGATTATATACATTGTGAGATTTGGTGCAAAGAGGCAATTATTGTATTAACCTTTGCAATGGTCACTTGTAATGTCCCTTTCTAAACTTTTGCTTGTTTGTTATTGTTTGTTCTTCAAATCTATTGGCCCATGAAATGGCACCACCGCATACACACCCCCAAAGGGGTTGCTTACGAATGGAATGTTTTGATAACCTTCAATTGGCATAGGAACTCTTTAAGTCATGCAAATTCAGAAAGAAAGATGGTTACTTCCCTCAAGGAGTTGTTCATGAAATGAGTTCAGTTCCTTTTAGGCAGTAACAACCTTCACCCTTTGTATGTTCCCCTGTTTATGAATTTTTTATAAACAATTGAAAACCAAACAAACATAAAAAAAATCAAATATGCATACCAAGGTTTTTGTGGTTAAAAGTTGTTGACCACAATACTTAACTAGTTATTTTGTTACAAAGATTCTTGCCATTTCATTTGGTATATTTACATTTTTTCAGTAGAATATTGATAACAAGAGAATGATTTTTACTTTTCACCCATTTATTTTTTTTTTTTACCTTCTTTGCATGGAAAATTTCTTTCCCAAGATTGGAGAGAGAAAGAAAAGGAAAAAGATCAAAACCAGCATGTTGTGTTCTTAGTAAAATTGGGAATCTTTGAGAGGGGGGGGATCATGCTAAATGGGCAGATACCATACTTGCACAGTACAGCACATAGTATTGCGCAGAGCCTCAAACCTTGCTTGTTTTGCTGATTGTAGTGGGTATGCTGGCATTAAAAGTTTTCCCAATGAGAAATTACCAATTGGGTGATTTGTGTTTTGTACCTGTGTATCATACTTTGTTGTTTTTTGTTGTTGTGATCATAGTTAAAAGTTAAATTAGGATAAAATATGTGAGTTCTGATTAAGCCTAGATATGTTGCTTGCACCTCCAAGTACAACTGTTTAGTATTGTCATTGATTTTAATGGATATCCATCTATCTGTGGCCTCGTCTCAATAAATTAATTTGATTACTTGTTCAAGGCTGTGTTCTAAGAAAAAGTGAAGAGAGCCCACTGCTCTGAAACTTTGAAATACAGGGTACCCAACATATACTTTTATATGAAAAAACTAAAATTCCTAAGTTGCCCAAGAGTGAAAGTAGGGTGCCAGGGGCCACCAGGTGCGGCTAGACCACAGCCCTGCTTGTTTATCAAGCTAGTTCACTGAAGTGAAGTGAAAAGCTTTATTTAACTTTGAATTACAGATAGCAAACAACTATGCTAATATCTTCAAAGATATAAAAAATAAAATTAAATAGACCAAACAATTATGTATAGAAATGAGATATTAAAATTTTAAGCTAAATTACAAAAAGAACAACAATCACGATTAAATTTAATTCGATTCACAGCTAGTTTAAATGCCTTCGTCATAGGAGCGGTTCTAAGTGAGTTTGGTAATGAATTCCAGAGTTTACAGGCTGAATAACAGAAAGAATGTAAGCCATTGTTTGTAGTATTAACCCTGGGGACATTGAGAAGACGTTTGCCACATAGGTTGTAAGAATTATCTCTTTCATTGAGTAGATTCTTAATATAAACAGGGGTGTTACCATTAGGGCTCTACAAGTAAGAGTCAACATATCATATATTCTGCGGTTTTGTAAACAGGGCTGATTAATGTAATCCAATAATCTATCATAAGTGTTTTGAAAGTCATTGAAGACAAAATGGAGACATCTCTCATTAATTTTCTCCAGTTTATCAGCATTCTTTTGCAGCAATAAGGTTTTAATGTTGGCACACACAAGGGGACTAGTCCTTGTGACTAGTTCCTGCAACTTAAGTCCCCTGAGGAGTTTACACGAAGGGACTGGTTGCAGGGACTAGTCCCTTTTAGTAGTGTTTACATGTGGGGACTAATTGCACAGTAAAGTAGGAAAAATTGGGGGCAAACAATGTCGTTCTTTCACTCTGCAGCTTTATTAAGAAACCAAAACTATTAAAATAGCAATGTAATGTTGAAATAAATCAGCTCAGTACAAACTGTAGATTGTGCAGCAAAATTATCCAGTGCTTGAATTGTTTCTGATTCAGTTAGGATATAATAAGAATATAACAGTTTGTTACAGATGAGATAAGGCCAATACAGAAACAAAAAGGGGCGAAAACTCAATCAAGATTTTCAGTATTCATGTAGATTATTTCAAAACTGGTTTAATCCCGGGGAGGAACCAGCAAAGAAATTAGTCCAGAAGTCACACAATTGCTTCAATCTGTAAATTGTACTGTCTGGTGATCTGTGATTGGTTTATTTTAATTAGGTTGCAGGGACTTCTCGCACTAACAGTTTACAAGAAGCATTATGAGGAACAAGTCCCAGGGACTAATCCCAAAACTTCAAACCAGTTTGAATTCATGGGACTTATTGCAGGGACCAAATTTTAGTCCCTGTGATTAGATTTTTTGGCAAAAATGGCTAGTTCACACAGTAGGACTTACTTAAGAGGGACTACTTCCCTTGTGTGTGCCAACCTAAAAACAAGTGTATGATAGGGGAATTAATTGTTCATGCTATAGGTTGATATAGAAATCAATGGAGAACCAGTGTCACTACAGATGAAACTTGGCGATGCAGGAGAGGCATTTTTTGTTGAAGAAGTAGATAATGACTCTTCAGATTTTTGTACTTCTCCTCTACCATCTCCTGAGACACTTGAAGATGCCAGGAAGGAGGATATTACTGCTCAAGAGGTACTTTTGAATTTCAATTTTTTTAATAATTTTTTTTTTTTATGAGATCTTTTAAAAGAATCAACCCCCAATTAGAATGAATATAGTGATGGGTTATTAGTTCATCTGTATTTCTTTTTGTCTTTTAATGTCCTTCTCTTGTTTACAAGAGTAATTGCTTAGACCTTTTCCTCATCTACTGCAGTGTTGTAGTATTTACTGTTTTCTACAGCACAGATCGTGGTGTGGTAGGTCAGTGTAAAGGGAACAATTTCTTTATAACGTTGTGTCTGCTATGTTTAAGGAATGATTTGCAATACATGTTTTGACAGTGAGAGTAGCTGTTAACTTTTATCAATGAGCCCATCCTCTCTGATTCAGTTAAAAAGTCAGTCATTGCTTCACAATGGTCTTAGTTTAGGGAGCTGGGAATAAAGGATAGATTTTATTTAAACATGTAAAATGTGAGAAAATAAATAAGTTCCTTGTAAATGGCTGTTTGATTGGTTTTATTAAATTTAGTACATATGATGCATGATCCTCGCAGTGGAGAGCGCTATTTATGCAATAGCAAAAATCAGACCTGAAAAAAATCAGGCCTGTACGGGATTGGAACCACTGACCTCTGCGATACTAGTGCAGCGCACTAATTGCAGCGCATTAATTTAGTAGACAACTGCACACTAGTGCAGTGCATTAATTTAGTAGACAAAAAAAGTGTAAATTCTAGACTAGAACTTGTTACCATTGATGTGGACATTGACACATTCTTAAAAGTAACCTGGGATTGAGAAATCTCCTGAATGAATTTTTATCATCCTCGGAAATATATGTTTCAATATAGTCAGTCAGGAGAGAAGCTTGCAATTAGCCATTTGAATGCATTTTTGTTTATATTTCAGGAAAATAGTGGTAACATAACTGTCAGTACTAAGAATAGTGCTACTAAACTCACCAAAAACCTACAAGAGAATGTTGTTAACACTTCCGTCACAGAGGAAGAAGCTATGAGATCTGTTTACCAAGGTGCACAAGCCCCAAAGGGTGAAGTGGTTTCTGATTTTGGTTCAGATGATAAAATTTCTGATAGTAGTGTAGAAGAAGACAGTAAAGCTAAAGAAGAAACTCACAGTGATCCAGAAACTGGGGAGTGTAAAGAATCAAACAAAGATGTTACTGACAATAAAGTAGTTTCTTCTGTAGAAAGTAATGCAGAGTCTGATGCCAATATGGAGGTAAGAGTTTTGAATTTATTACTCTCCAAACCTTTGCTTTAAATCTCAACTATATTTTAGTTTCTTCCAAAGATGAAAGGGAAACACAGAACAAACGAAGAAATTAACCATTTTGTAAAATAGTAAATTTTATGTAGCTTGCTTTTGGCAGGAAGCAACATAGTAGAACAATTAGTCCTTAACAAGAACAGAGAAAATAATCCTAAACAATCCTTAAAGAAATCCAGTCACTTTAAAGAGGTGAAGTAAGCTTACCACCCGACAGCTCTGCCATTTCCATTTATACTATTGAGGGGACAAAGGACATGAGGCACTGGGAGTATAGTTTCTTGTGCAGAAGGTCTGCATGTACAGTGTGGGTCTACTGTCTAACAAGTGTGCAATTTTTTGACATATTACAGGCTGTGGTGGGAAGCATCCCCTCTAAGTCAGACAGTATTCCAATACCAGTGCGGCAGAAGGCAGATCCACGAGATATCTCATCTGATAGTGAAACGATGGTAATATGCAACTTGATAATTAAGTGATAAAATTGAATGAATTAATATTTGAGTTACCTCTGGTCATATGAGATAAAAATTTAATGGTAAACGAGCCTAGCCAGAAGTGCTCTGCATTAAAGGAAAAATGTTAATTTACCTCTTGACACGCATCTAAATTTTATTTACAATATCACCCTTGAATCAATATGACCCTTGAAATGTATAGAGAACGGTATATAGTATAATTATGCCTACTGATTTTAGGGTACAAAAGGGTTTGATAATTGAACTCTTCTTATATGCTGAGGAAAATGCAAATGTGAATGAAGATATTACTGACAGGGACCTAACTTAGTGAAGACAGGTAGAGACTAAATTACTGTAAATCATTTTAGAATGGTTTTAGTTCCAGGCCTTTGAATTTAAGACCTGATGATTATCTGAACAATTGTAAATGCTTTCCTTGGAACTTGCAGATTATGGTACCGTAATAGCTTTAATGTGCATTTCTATTTTACATAGTGGGCAGGATCACACTCTCCCTCTATTGCAAGTAGTTTTAAAAGAGACTTTTATCCACTTTCTGACTTGGACTCACCTATTGGCTCTCCACCCAGTCATAGGTAAGTATTTTTAATGATATTGTTATGTTTTTTAGGGACTTTCATCAGATAATTTCCCCTTCCAATTGCTAGTGCATGATTTTCTCTTATTTTATCACCTGTTATAGCAGCAGAAGTAATTTTTGTCTGTGTGGAGAAAGTAGATACAATCTAATTTTTTTCAAGGTTCTTGATATTAAGGTGGCTTGCCGACAAAATTAATGTCAGTTGTTGATGATTAAGAGACCGGGTTGTGATGATTGTTACTTGCTCTAGGAGAAAAGTCCTTTTTAGAGTCAATTACTCCTTTTTGGAAGTAAGTCTTGAGAAAATGAGGGTGAGCTTGCTGATCTTAATGAACTTAATTTCTCTTGAAGTGATGAGCGAGTCAGCAGTGCACCAAATCCTCAGCACTATATGAGTGATTCTGAGCTGGAGTTACATCAAAGCCAAGAGAATATTGCAAGAGAGAATCAGATCAGATGGGCCTGGGGAAAGCTTCCACAGGTATTGCTAGCTTGAAGTTTTTGGTGTTACTTGTTTTTCTTGTGTGTATCCATATCTTCACCAGGTGAGTGAAGTTTTTCAGGTAAAGTACCTACTTGTGTATGGTCCTAAAGTATTCCAGGCCCAATTTGAAGTCCTGGCTTGCAGAGGCAAAATTCTAAATCCATCTTACTGTGTTTGAATACAGTTTATAACATAGCCAAAGTAAAGCATGTGCTCTGATTGGTCAATTCAGCATCTACCATTTGCCCATGGGTCATTACAGAATCGCGCCCATTGAAAAACGTCGCACAGGAAAATGCAAATAAGCTAGAAAAGAGAAAGAGTGCATTCGTAACTTTATGCAGGCCCGTCAATCTGACTGTCAATCATGTAATGCCCATGTACGCCGTGTTCTCAAGTATTGTTTCTTGCTCAGACAACCGAAACATAGCGCTATTCATCAAAGAAGAATAGCCGTAATCTTGATTAGGCGATATTGTTTAAAAATCGATCACTTGTAAGATTATTTATTCAAGCTGAGCGATTTTTTCTTAAAACTTATAACCAAAATCTCGAAAATTTGAGCTAGAGAAGGGTTCTCTGCTTATAACTGAGTGTTTTTCCATACATAATTTTTTCGAAACAGCAAATTGAAAGGAAACATAGATATATTTGTCTATAAGCCGAGATATTGCATGCAGAAATAAATTAACAAAACAAGTTGAAGTTGGTGATTGACTTTAGTTATGTGGTGGCTTCCAAAGGAGTGATTTGTTGTTTTCGGTGCATAGTAAATACGGCTTACTGTTGGTCCTTGGTGTCGACGTCGAATTTGTCGCCCATCTCCTCTTCATCCGCTAGTTCTGCTGTTTCTTCCGATTAGATTGCTTCATCTTCAGTGCCGTCTAGAGTGTTAGAAATTCTGCAGGTATAGATCTCGCGAAAGTGTTTTAACAATTTCAAAACTGACCAACGAGAATTGCCCATTCCCACGATTGGTAAACAAACTCGTCACATATTACAGTGTTGAAATCTGCAACAAGTAACAAGAAAACTTACCTTGGCTTCCCTGCCCTGTAAACTAGTCAAGTAATCTCTCATCCAGCCGTGGATATTTCAGAGTGTAACGGCCCATCGTTGTGCGTTTCGCTGACATCTTGAGCTCTCCATTAAAGAGGTTCTCTTGATCTTTCCTCCAGTGGCGGACCATAGACTTACTGATGACATACTCTCTGGTTATCTCGGAGTTGTTTTCGACGGCAATACTGCACTGAAACACTTTTCTGTTTTGAAACTTCTGCGTTCATTTCAGTTTTTTCGAGAATGGAATTCTCTGAATATGGTCTCGGCTTATAGCTGAGTATTTTCAATTCACATGTTTTAAGAACCCAATTAAAACAGACCGAAGTTTAGGGTCTCGGCTTATAGCTGAGTTCAGCTCATAGACGAATAAATATGTTAAGACGGAAATGCGGCAGATTTACAAGGTTCAACCATCAATTTTGCCATGAAAGCAAAATAACATTACAGAAATATTCCTTTTTAGCCCGTTATTGCGGTCAGTTTCACTTAACACGTCGGGAAAGTCTATTTACTTTTCGAAAAGCTTAAGTATACCTTGTGAATTCCTGCTCCACGTATGTACACACTCAGTTCCAACTCAGCTTTACCATAACAACAATTTGTTTCATCACCTTCAAACAATACTAACTGCTTCAATTGTATCTCCATTGTCTCTGAATGGACGCAAAGCGAAATTTTACAACTCCCATTTGGGAATTCATCAATTCAGATCTAAAGAGACTGAAGCTGGCAGTGAGTTTTTGCAACCTCGTTCCGCCTGCAAAGCATCATGGATACCCCACTTTTCCCGGGCGATGCTTTTCAATGGGCGCGATTCCGTAATGGACTATGCTGCTGACATGAGCAAATGCAAAGACTAGTTTTCCATGCATGCACTTGTTTTTTTCTGTTCATGTAAGATTTGTTAAGTAAAAGAAAACTCTTTTTTACAACGCATCAATGTTATGTTATAAAAAAATGGTAAACACCACTCAAGAAGCTAGAGTTGCTCTTGGCTATCGCCTTGTGTGACTCGACCTACTCTTCTTTCGGGCTAAGCAACCTCCTGTTTGCATCCATAACTCAGTAGTGTATGCTGCGGTGTGTACCATTTGTTAAATTGCAGCTGTAAAATTGCAAACAATTGTGGCCAAACAATGCTCATCTAACTTTCATAGAACAAGCAAGAATATTGTATGAAGTTGTTTAATATGTGACTTGCATTTGATTGATTTACTTTAAGCAGTCTCCATTAGGAACTTTTCAAGATTAGTATGATTGTGTTTTTGCCAAAAAAAGGTTTCACCGTAGATGAAAATGAGTATACTTTTCTCTCAAGGTTGCCACTTAAGTAAGTAGCCAGAAAGATATTTTCTGACTTTCAGTAAATATACTACAACTTTACATTCAATAATTGTGTGAACTTTTCTCTTGACCTCAGGGGCCAGATGGACGATCATTGCCTGACAGGAAGCCTTCAGGTCTGAAGAAAATAATTGATACACATGGAACTTTTCTATATTAATTATGGTAGACAATCAGAGGGTTGTGTTCTCTAAGATGGAATCTGACTTAACACTTTTGCCTCTAACATCAGTCTGCATATTCTCTATACTGTTCTTTAATATATTACATTTCTCTTGGCACAGACAAGGGGAAAAAATTAAAAGCTTTATTCTTGTGACCTAAGTGTTTGACTGACAGCAGTAATACTGTATGGAGAAATTGATTAGATGCTGATCACCCTTTGGGGTTAAAGGGTTGATTGAGATTTGTTACATCTGAGTGGTGGGTAATTTTTAGATCAGAGGCATTTTGGGTTTGTAGTGTGAGTTTGAAATGCAAAAACAAGCCTTTTTTGCTCTAGATTAATCTCTGAATTACTTTTCAAACAGATTTGAGGAAAGAAGACATGAAACATATCCACAAAGGAAAGAGGAGAGAAGGATCATTCAAGTCACACAGCAAGGTGCAGTTTATTAACTATGTGTAATGTTTGAGTGAAGTTGTACTTAATTACACCTTGTAAGTATTGTTTCTAAAGGTTTTGCCTTTGAGCAGTACTTGTATACTGATTATAACAGCTCTCAAACCACATCTCATATGTAACTCAACAAATTGCCCTCTGAAATACAAAGTTAATTGAGCAAAGAATGCTAAATGCATATATGTAATCAATTCTTGTACCAATA